TACAACAATGAGAACTCAAGGTTTGATTCAGTGCACCTACAACTCACCCTCCACGGAAGCGTGATTTTGCACCACACACTGGTGGACCAATAAGCAAATGGATCCAATAGGGGTCTGCGACGTCACCGGGCCCTTATCAAAAAAAAAAGCATGAAGTGGCAGTCTGCAGAGCTCACCGCAAATGCCAGACTGTTCCGTGTGGAGATTATTGATTGCATGAATGATTGATAAGTAGCGTGAGAGGGACAAAAAAAAGAAAAAGAAACAGCAGTTGCTGCACTTCGAAGTGATCATACGGAAAACAACAGAGGAAAAAAAACAATCATAATAAAGCAACGAAGTCACACAAGCCACACAGGCATCTATCTATTGAGCTACTCCTCTTTTCTTCTTCGCTGTGTTTTGCACACTCCGTCTAGGGGCTTCAACCCCCACACCTCTTTCTGCATGCATGTGCATCAGGACAGACATGACGGATTGTGGCGGAAAAAACAAAATGAAGAAGATCAAAACAAAAACCAAAAAATTACTCCAGCAAGTACCGTGAAGATCGTACGTAACTCGGCGACAGGGCCCTGCGTAACGGCTGCCCCCCCCACCCCCACCCCACCCTCTCCTTGACTACGCCTCTCCCCCTCCCCGAGACCACGTAATGTCGCCATACTCACCTCGTACTCATTTCTTACCGTTAACGACACACCAGCGCGAGCTGGTGTACCTTCCTGTTTTTTTTTGTTTTTTAGCTTTCCTTTCGCTTTACCTCCTACATGTCTTCCTCCACCAACTCGTCTTCCTCCACATCACAGGGCAGGCATCCCGGGGCCGAAGACTTTCGACAGCACGTGCAGGAGCCATCATTGCAGCGAACCTCGCCTGAGTTGCTGAAACACGTTGCAGAGTCCGCAAAGGGGACGCGGCAAAGATACGAGTACCCTTTCTGCTGGCAGTACGCGCAGTCGAGCTCGGCGTGGGCGGTTGGTGCGGCTGCCACCAGTGCGAGTAACAGCACTACGGCAAGCAGCACAAATTGGCAGAGTCGCATCGCCAATACCGTCAGTAGGCGCAAATAATAATAAAAAAACGAAAATGAAAGAAACGGAAAAAAAACTGTTTCAGAAAGTAAAAAAAAACAAAGATATAGGTCTCTGTCGTTGTCCTTGGCGGTGACGTGTGCGCGGTGCTTTCCCTACGGTGGTGGGTGTGGGGAAGAGAGAAACGATGGCGAAATGGCGTGCGGAAAAGCGGCGGAGGGGGAAACACGGAGAAGAAAGCAGCACCCAAATACACACAAGTACCACGAAGGAAAGGGAGAGAGGGAGAATTAAGAAAAAAAAAAATGGGCAAAAACTATTTGCGTGGACGCGCGGTCCCCCACTGGGACGCATGTGCGCGACGACAACCCTACATTTGTACTGGCAGCCCTCCCCGTGAGCCAAACTCACTCCCTGTAATCAACCCCGTTCACGGCATCCTCAACTATGGCCACCTGGCGGGCTGCCAAGGTGGTGGCGTCGGCAAGGCCACCGGGGGCGGCGACGAGCCGCTCCAGCGCGCACCGCGAGCTCTCGTTAAAGCGCCGCACAACATCGGGTACCAACTCGTCGCCGACGTGAGGCACGCGTTGCTCTAGTGATTCTGCCACCACGTCAGCGTACAAAAGATCCGCGAAGGCCACCTCATCGTAGTTAAAGACGTGGCAACGAATCAGTTCCAGCTGGTCGTCATTCAAAGCCTCGGCAAGGGCCGTATTGTAGCGGCAAAGAGACTGCGGTGTCAGAAATGGGGTTCCATCCAGAAAAGAGTACAGTGCAAAGCGAAAACGGCGAGAGTCAGCGAGCGAGGAAGGCCGAGTGGCAGCCCTATCCGTCAGCACCGCACTGCTCGCACGCAAAACCGAACACAACAGTGACGCGCTTTTCTCCTCCTTCTTGCTCTTTCGTTTTGCCTGCCGCACCTCCTTACGCATCTGCTTCAGCCACTCCCATGTCTCAGCAGCACGGCGTGCGATGCTGCCGTTGCCCGC